TGTGTGTGTGTGTGTGTGTGTGTGTGCATGTGCACTTAATGAGCTTTTTCAGTTTTTTAATCTTGTTTGTCTCCATGGACTAAGAGAACAAAACAAGTTCAGGGGAAGAAAGGTGGAAAGAGAAGAGTGCTTCAAAGATAAGATGCAAAAGGGCAAAAGCTGGGTCCAAATGCCAACCAAGGATTCTTCTGCCCTCTGGAAACTAAGAATTTTGCTCTCAGCTTCCTCAAACATGAGCACTATTAACCCTCTCCACTCCACCCTCAGCCTTCAAATTGGGGACTTTAATATGCATGAAGATGACCCGTCAGCCCACTGGCCTGACAGTTTTTTAACTCCCTCAAAAGAAACCCCTTCAGCTTAGATGTACAACAGATACAATCATCAACTGAGTCACTCAATGCTTACTGCCTTTAATTCTGAAATTATTCTCCTTTCACAATGACTGACTTTCCTTCCACCTCTCTTATTCTCTTAGTTCCACAGAATGTGTGTGCTGCTCTCAGGGCGGCTGCCAGTCAGCCCACTGACATTTCTTCCTTCATCTGTCACCACGGTTCTGGCTTATCTACCCCTGCAGCCTGGACCCTGGATTAGTCACTAAAGAAATGGATTCATTGTACATGAACTTCCTTTCACTTTCTCTGTTTGCATCTGGTAATAGGTTAGACTCTTGACAAAATGATCAAAGTAAAGAACAGATGAGAACAGAAACTAACCCTTTTCTTACAAAGTGTTAATGATTTCCAGTTGCCTAATGAACTAGGAACATCCCCCTAGCTCTTGAATTCAAAGTTCTCCACTACATGTTCCCGCTCTCCCTGCCCAATGAGTTTCCGAATGTTTTACAAGGAGGATTAAAGGTTCTGAGAAGTTTTATCTGGGTTTCTAGGAAGGCCCACGTGGGCACTGAGCAGCCAGGACTCCAGGGTTCAACCAGAGCAGCTTCACTTTTATCTAACAATAGAAAATTATTCAATAAATTATATTGAATACAGAAGACAGATAATTACTCAGCCATTAAAAACTATAATTCAGGAAAATGTTTGGCAACATAGGAAAATGTTCATGATCCTAGACATTATATATGGCATTATCCAAATTCTTCAATATGTAATAAACCTATAAAAGAAATAGTCTAGAGGGAAACACATACCGGTATAAACCGTGGATGTATCAGAAAGACAGATTTATGCTGGGCGTGGTGGCTCATGCCTGTAATCCTAGCACTCTGGGAGGCTGAGGCAGGAGGATTGTTTGAGCTCAGGGGTTCGAGACCAGCCTGGGCCAGAGTGAGACCCTGTCTCTACTAAAAATAGAAAAAAATTAGCCGGACAGCTAAAAATATATAGAAAAAAATTAGCCAAGCATGGTGGCGCATGCCTGTAGTCCCAGCTACTTGGGAGGCTGAGGCAGTAGGATCGCTTGAGCCCAGGAGTTTGAGGTTGTTGTGAGCTAGGC